CAAAAAATAATATTTGAATATTATGTAAAAAGAAACAAAATGGTACGAATAAAAGCTTGATGGAATCTCATACTTTGTGATGATCGAATAACAAATATATTTTACAAAAACACGTAATCCGATAGAATATCAATCATATTTTACGAAACTTTTTGAAGTATTGTAAAGTAAAACATTTATAATCTTGTATTGATCTTGTAAATAATAAAGAAGTTTTAAAATCTGTTAACTAGATTTTTATATTACATTTATTTCGATAATAAATACTTTTTGCATGTTAAAGGTTGTAGAGTTATTAGGTACGTTTTTCTTTTCTTTGAAAGATATGGTAATTTTCTTATTAATTTCAAATTGCAAGACATTCACAGAAAGCTATACATAAATGCAACCACTAGAAAAAATACACATTCCTCCCGAACCCATCAACCTTTTAAAATATGAAGAAACCAAAAACTAGAAACGAATAATTGGGTAATAATATTCTTAGCCACCCATTATACATGACATACAATATGCTTTTATACCCCCATTTGTCATATCCAAGAATGCTCTCATTGCCTTTCTTTTTTTTTGTGACATTTTTCTACAGTCTAAAGCATGAGGTAAACAAGCATTAAGCTTGAGATGATTAAAGTGTATTAAAACAGTCTCTTATCTTGTTCTGTTAAATATACAATCAGATTCCAGCTTATCCCTTCACACAGAGAAACCAGAATTACCAGGCATGATTGGTGTGGTAAGACATGCATGAATCTAGTTTATTAACAAAGAACCCTAAAAGCATTAAAGTAAAAACAAACTCATTATGACATGACACGAGAATAATAATTAAAATCAACTTAAAGTCCAGTACTCCCAATAAGCTTCGTGAACCCAAAAGTGATTCCCATGGCTACCCACCCTCCAAGCAAAACCCTCAAAGAAGACTTAACCACAGGCGCCTTCCCCAGAACAGCCCCTAACCCACCAAACCCCAGCAACGCCAAGCTCACTACAACCACTACAACTCCCACTCTCACTACATACTCCTTTATAAACGCCGCACCCAGCAGCGGCACCACCGCGCCGACACCGAACGCCAGAGCCGACGCCACTGCAGCCTGCAACGGCTTCGGCAGACTCTTGTTTTTCTCTACTTCAAACTGATCTTTGCTCTCTCTCTTCATTTGCGCCAGTTCGATGTCGTATTGGGAGTAAACAGAGACGAACTCACCTATCGCCATGCTTAAAGCACCAGCGACTAGACCGGCAATCCCTGTGAGAATCATGGTCTTGAAATCTTTTCGGACGGCGCCAACTCCCATCATGAGAGAAGCTGTGGAGAGCAAGCCGTCGTTGGCGCCAAGGACGGCTGCACGGAGCCACTGGGCTCGTTTGGAGTAGTCGAAAACCTCGATTTCTTGTTGTGGGTTGGTTTGTTTCTGGAGCTCCAGGGTTAAATGTTGTGGAGGAAGGGAAGTTGGCAGAGTAGTTTCCATGGACAAGAGGAAGAGGAGGATGATGAGACGGAAGTAAAGGAGAAAAGAGGAGTGTGGAGAAGTGTGGAGGACACACGCCTCATTATAAAGCGGAGGTAATGATGTTGGCAAATAAAGATTAGAAAATGGTGTGATAGAAAGCGAATTTCAGAATCTTGTGCGTTCACATTCGGAACCGAATATTTGGTTTGTTGCTTCTCTTGTAAGACGGTGGTGAAACCAAATTAGTATAATATTTAATAAAAAAAGGCTTTGGAAGTATTTTAATGTAAAGTATTATATTATATTTAGTTATGATTTAAGAGTTAATAATCAATGTTAAAAATTTATACGAGTAAAAAATTTAATTACTAATAAATGTTAAAATAATATATATATATATATACATGCATTATCTAATAGTATTACGTAGTAGTAGCGTTTATGCATTTTGCTTAATTATGTATTTGTACTCGGACTAAGCATTTTAGTTCTAGTATTTTTATTTATTTTAAAATGAGATTGAGATATAGAATAAGGTCAAAATAATATTTATATTGATAATAATTATTTTATATATTTTAATAATATAGTGATTCATATATACTAATAATATTATGATAAATAATATTAGCAATTATACATGTAATATAAATTTATACTTTTATAAGAAGAATAAAAATACTAATCATAAAAATCTTACGGTATTAGTTTAATCATATTGTTTGGGTAAATTAATTATTTTTTTTTTCATTTTCTGTATTTTCATACTTAAATTTCACAATAAATTGGTTATAATCAAGTTGACAAGGTAGTAATCATATTATTACCATAACCAATTTAATATTAAGAATATATGAGGTTTTGGATAATATGTTCATACCATAAATTGGCCTCCAAAAAACATGAAAACTAAAATATTTGATCATCTAAAATACTATGATATGTTCCTTCATTAAAAAACAATACATACGGTTTCCATGGAGATAACAAAGGTACATAAATGGGCTATTAATTATTAATTATTAATTATAATTATAAAAATATAATAGGGTATACTTTTATATGGGTTTATTAACATGTTATTAAAAAATATCTTGTAATATATGTTTTTTATTTTTTGTATATCTCTCATATTCTATATATATTTACTTTCTTGTATCGATTTAAGTTAAATTCCATGATTGAGGATTACAACTTCATAGCCTTAGACAAAGGTAGCTAAGATTGT